CTGTGGCTGCCCCAACCCTGGCAGTGTTCACAGCCAGGTTGGATGAGCCTTGAGCAACCTGCTCTGGTGGGAGGTGTCCCTGCCCAGGGCAGGGGTTGGGGCTGGATCATCTCTAAGGTCCATTCCAACCTCTAAAATTCTATGGTTCTATGACTGCTAGAAGCAGCACATTGCCCTTGATGAACCTATCCTCTGTCACTACAGAACAGCACAAGACAATTTCAGTAGAAATCTAGAGACAGACACCAGAAAAAAAAAGAAGAGACAAACCAATACAGCAGCTTTATAAAGTCAATTATCAGGTAGTTTGAGCTGGGAAATCCCATGTGGATACAACTATAACTATTGTCCCTGTAACTGTTCTCAGACTGAACTCAGTAAATCATTTAAGCATATGCTACTCTGCCTCCCTTTTCAGGAAACCACTTGAGAGCCTATTCTGCAAGGGACTCAAGCACTTTGAAGAGCCTTAATATAACACAGATGCTTCAATGCTTTGCTGACCTTGAGCCTTAAATACAGGCTTAGTTTAACATTTAAAGCAGGATTGGAGTGTGCCTGACAGTTAAATAGGTGTATACATACTGCTGTGCACCAGAACATTTCCTCAGGAGTGGCTGCAGCAAGTCCAAATCTGATTTCCCTTAAGAGTCATAAAATCCTCATCTACTCTGAACCAGAGACATTTAACAGATGGAATATAATGGCCCTGGGAAAAATATTACTCATCTCCACAGAGGTTTTTAAAAAAAATGACATCATGGAAACTTAAGGATCCTATTCCATTTGCTACTGATAGCTACTCTGCCATTAGTTATTTCCCCCAAAGTGTTTGATGAGGTCTACCAAGACTTCATAACATTGAGGTGAAACATTCAAAACAGCAAAACCATAACCATGGTTTGGATTTCAGAAACATATACTCAGCAAACCACTTACCTCCAGTTTTCCTTTGACAGTATGCTAATGTTATCCTAAACACAGTGAGAGGAAGATAAACTAAAAGGAGTAACAAAACCCTGTCTGACCTTGCTAAATGTAATCAGGCTATTACACTTTCGGTAGAGAAGCAGCAATAAAATAAAAAATTCACCCACAAAATGGAAGTTCACATCCTGTTTTTTCAGTGAGACATCTCATCATCCTAATATACAAAACAGAGGGCACTATTTTCTCTTTCTCTTGGTTCTACAATACATTTTCTTCTTCTCCTAATGTAGCTTTAAAAGCCAATCTACTTTAGGGCATCTTTAAGACAGATGAAACAGAACCTCAGGCTGTCTCTTTTTTTGTAGATGTCCCACAAAACCTAAGAGTGTATCTATACAGCTGCAGAAATATAAACTAGGCAGCTAACCTGATCCCTGAACTCCTGATCAGGTGCATTACTTAATAGCCCATGCCCTGACTCTGCTCTAGACTGTTCAAACTTGTGTCCAACACAAACTAGCCAAAAGGGCAGGTAACCACCATCAGTATGGGCACAAGCCAAGCTGTGCTACTTGTTGTAGGAGGTATCTCAAGGGATCCTAAGTACACAGGATCTATATTTATTAAGTCTTATTGATGATTCTTGAAGTTCTCTGCTATGGCATGTCCCAGTACTTTTGGCACTTTCAGCAGTGATTAAAAAATATGCAGACTGACTTTCACATTCTTGTTGCAGATGGAGAACAAAAGATGAAACTGCATTGGTTTTCTTATATGGCTCCTAAGAAATCCTACACACAGGATTCTGACCTGAAATAGATTTCTGGCTTAGTACTGCTACTGTTGGTTTACCAATCACTTCAGCTTATTATGACAGTAAATGTCAAACATTTCAACACCAATGTAAAATAATATAAACTGATTTTATGTGACAGAACACTAACCTTCCTTCCAATTCACTGAGAGCTGTCCTCATTTTCTCTTCATACTGCTTATACTTTTCTGTACTAACATATACATGAACTGATGGATCTGTAGATCCATCTTTCCAGAGGGTATGTGCAAACTTGTCACAATATCTTGCATGAGTTACCTTCCTCTTTGTGTCCTACAACCAAGAAAAAACATGTGACATGTTCTGAAACATTATTTTGCAGTGCCTTTAATATCTGGTCATCAAAGGCACATGGTTGTTGCACATGAACAGGTGCAGAAACAAACATGGGATAAGGTGGTCACAGAATTTGCTTCTAGCAAGAGTGACTAGAAACTGGTTTTATTCTTGTAGCCAGCAAAAACAGAAGCTCACTAAACAGTGTAATGGTAGAACTTGAGAAAGACAAACAGAAGACAAAGTAATCCAGGTTTGTTTAAGAATCTGCAAACATTGCAGCAGCTGAGATCCACATGAGCAATCTTTGCCCCACCCCACAGAAAGACATAAAAACCCAAGGCATTGGTCAAGGCAGTCCTGATTCTTCCCTTTAGCTTTTATGTTCACCAGCAAGGAGTCCTTAAAATAGTCATACTCAAACAGCCCTTTGAAACATTCTCATTCATTACATTATTTGTCCCAATAATTAATAAACTGATTTTAACAAAAGCTACAAAACAACAAGGCCACACACTGTATCATAAATTGATCCACCAGAAAGTTTTCAAGCTTTAAAAGCAAATCAAGCAGCTCACAGGACGTGAGGGGAAATTAACAATACTCACAGCATCAGTTCGTGAAGATTCACCCCCTGGTTTAGTTTTTATGCCAACATTCCCATGTACGTGACGAAAAGTGCAATCAGCAAGGACATCATACAGTGTGAGCTTCTGAGCTTTCAAGCCATACTTCTGCAACCACTTCTCAGAAGTCCAATCTTTGTCAGATATGTCCATTTGTAGCAGATGATCATCTCTGATTGCTAGTAAAGAAAATAAACCAAACAAAATCTCTTGTAAAATGGTTCATTTTGGATAAACTATTTCAAAAAACAGACTATGATACGGGAGTCAAAATCTGCAAACTTATTCTGCTTAGACTGCCCAGGGAGGTGGTGGAGTCACCATCCCTGGAAATGTTTAAGAGGTGTCTGGATTTGATGCTGGAGGATCTGGTTTAGGGGTTCCAGCAGAGTGGCAAATAATGGTTGGACTCGATGTTAGAAGCCTCCTCCAACCTTGATGGATCTGTGATTCTATGATTCCACACTTGCACTGACAGCATTGGAGTGAGCAGATGTTTCTGACTGATTTTTAATAGTCTCTACTTCGGTTGTGGGTTTTTTTCTTATCAGACAGCTCTTTGCAACAAATTCCTTTGTAGCTGGAAAAAAAGTCAAAAGGCACAGAGGAAAGACAATAAATAGTAGCCAGATCAACATATAAAAGGAATATTCTTAGTAGTATGAAAGTTCACAGCTTCATACTAGTTGAATTATCACAGAATCATAGAATAATCAGAGTTGGAAGGGACCTTTGAGGATCATCCAGTCCAACTCCTGCCCTGCACAGACATCCCTGACAATCACACCCTGTGCTGAGAGCATTGGCCAAACACCTCTGGGGGAAGACTCATTTTCTAATCTCCAGCCTAAACCTCCCCCAACACAACTTCAGACCATTCCCTCAGGTCCTGCCACTGGATGCCAGAGACAAGAGGTCAGTGCTGCCCCTGCACTTCCTTTTGTGAAGTTGATGAGGTCTCCCCTCAGTCTCCTCTTCAATGGATTTATGAAATGTCAGAAAATATTCCTGTATAAGATGTCTAACTTCAGGGATAATCAACTGAAAAAATGACAGAACTGAAGATAACATCAAAAATATAGTTTTGAACATTGGTTATCATTAACATTGGTCTTGTGAGAGAAGGCTATTTAGAGGCAAACTACAATGTTTTTGGAAGAGATTTTACTGTATGTTTCTGTGCAATATTACCTTTTTATAGGCTGAATATTGCACCATGGATCCCAAGCCACAAATCAGTTGTGCACTATCTTAACATTTTCTCTAGTTCTACACCCTCCTTCTAGCATTTTCACCTGACACTGGAAGAAACTGGAGTTAATTTTTTCTTGTCTAATCTGGTATGATTGTTCTTATGTCTACCCTTTTATGTCACATTGTCTTACAAATTTTCCAAGGACCATCTTAAGGTAGGGCACTGCACATCTCTGGGTACTGGCAATAGGATACAGGACTTTACACTTATCACTCTCTCAATAATCCACACCTCAACCAATCACCCAGCAATGGGTCTCATAGCAGGGTGAATTCACTTTGTCACACTTTAATTTTGGAGGACTTAGGTGGTATAAATGTCTACTCTGTTTAGATGCAGCTACAGTGGCAACAGTATTGAGATCCTGAGCCTGTAAATGAACCTATGGAGGCATCGACTGTCCTTACACACAGATCAGCCCATACCAGGGCAGGTGCATGGCTGGAACCTGTTCATGTGGAAACATTTGACTGCTTGTGGTCCTTACAACAAGCATCACAAATGAGCTCACAGAATTTTTGAAAGAAAACTTTTGGGGTTTTTTTCCACATGCTTTATGTAAAAAATCCTGTCTCAGTTCAGGAGGCTAGTGCATCATCTGGAGAGTCAGCAGAAAAGTTGCCTCTTTTTCTCTGTTTTTTTCTCTGTTTTTTCTCCTGCAGAGCATTGCAGTCTTCAGAACAAGCTACATTATGCAGCAAAGCATTTTAAACAGATCAGAGAGGCAAAACCAGGAAGAAATGCAGGCAAAGAGAACAACTGTAGTTGCTTGGATCGATGGGCAATAGTCAAATAATGCTGAAGATCTGACAAAGTAAATCACACTGTAATTTCATTTCTTTTATTTATGGAGTGATTATGTTTGAAGGCAAACACTAAAAGAACATTAAAGCTGCACAGTCAGGAACACATAAATAAACACTGAAATTAGGGCTGCTAACTGTGGTACTTGTGTTCATATGTATCACAGAAGAGCTGTTTAACTTCATATAGGAAGTCCTGCTAATTCAGAAGCTGCTGTTATCAGTATAAAGAACTGTATTATGCCTTCACAGAAGGAAACCTCTAGTTTGAGTCGTGCAGTTATGTTGTGGACAGAAGTTCAAAGCCAGTGTAGACAGAGAAAGTTCATAACTTCAAATCTTCATCATCAGCACCCCAGTCACACATCTCAAAATGGTTCAAGGGACTGAGCAGCTGAACAAAGTATTCCTCAGCAGGTGATCCAGAAAAGGGCATCTCGCCCAGTCTCCATCTAGCCAACCTGAAAGCAACTGCACTGCAAAAAACAGCACTAGAGCTACACAAAATCACTCACAACTCCTGCTAATTCAACCTGAATCTTGTCTTACCTTACACAAAAAGTACCACTAGACACCACATTTTAAAACCAGGGACTAAGGAAGAATATAGACACTGACAATCAAGGCTATGATCCTGAAAATCCACCCCCTCAATTGCAGTCCAATGCTGAAGCTGCCTAGGCTCCACAGATTCCTACGTTTTCAGTATTTAAGTCTTGTCAGTGTAATCATTCTGCTCCAGAGCATGCCCAGAGCATCTCCATCTTAGCAGAGATGAGTAGCTTCTCACCACTCCCTCGTAAAGCCTTGCAGAGCTTCAGAAACCAGCTATGAGTCTGTCTCCAACAGGGTTCAATCCAATCAATACGCACAGAACAACATACGGATCGTGTTCTAGCCCAAACATAATGATGGGAACTATTAGTTTAATGAACAAGTGTAGATGTTCCTCCGTGTTTCTTAAGACAAGAGTTGTCAGAGCACTCACACAGGATTGCTTTCAGTCCTCTGCCTGTGATTACAAGAATTCAAACCCACACGTTTTCCCTTTTAGGGGAATGAACTAGCTACCAGGTTGGAGGCTACCCCAACACAGCTATGATGGAAAAGGGATGAGGTACTACCCCAGCACTGTAGAATAAAATTAGGGATTTACTGGCCCAGGCAGACAGGGAAAGACCATCAAAAGAACCCAATTTCCATATCTTGAAATCCACATAACTAGTCACTGGTGAACTAAAAATGGAATGTTTCAGCCTGAGCTGTTAAAGTTCAGTAAGTTTAAGACAGATATTTATACTGGAAAGTTTTAAGCAACCCTAGGTTTACATAACACATCCAGGTGCTATCTGTATATAGACATTTCTGAGAATATAGACATTTCTGAGAAAATCATCCCCAAATCGACATGTAATCAAAACTGTTCACAAACAAAATATTGATCATGAATATAATGGAAACTCTTTTGAAAGAAATGTAAATGATACCATCTTGAGGAGCAGCCTGGTCAGATTCTGATAAAATGTTCTGAACTTGTCTCAGTGTACTCCTGGCTTCCTCCAGCTCCTTCCAGATCAAAAAGACATCTACACGGACACCAGCTACTGCAAAAGAAATCATAAATAGGACTTGACATTGTGATACAATGTCCTCAATTTATAACTCCCCAGTTACCACAGACTCATTGGTATATCCAGATGTTGACATATAACCTTTTTTTCTTGAGGTCCCATTGCAGCAACAAGTGCTGAAGATTTCCAAACAGGGCTCAGAACTGGCACAGGACATGAGAAGGGCTTAGTGTGGTGTAAGGAAACTCCAGAGTTGGCCAGAGATTGTTCCCACAGTGGAAGCAAATGTTTTTTAACACTCTCAGATAATAACAATAGTAAGAAAACCGCACAAAGAAAACATTTTCTATTCTTCCCATTTCCTTCAAGTACATATATTTAATTTAAATCTTTTTTTCCTGAAAAGTATGTGATGGAATTTTGCTAAAGATAAGTTTTCTTTCATCCCAACAATTCTCAACAGTTATATATAAATGTTAAAAAAATAATATTCTACTATCAGTCTATATTATCCAAAAAAATGGAAAAATTCAAAGCTGGAGTTGAGACAAGGTTTTCTTAACCTCAAAAGATATGTTTTTCTTGATTAAAATCATTTAAATATCTTTTGATTCCATAGAGTACAATTACTAAAACTGAGACACGTATCATATCTAAGCAGAATGATCACCACTGAAAATGTGGTTACTCTCAGAGTTTAAATTGCAATAAAGGACAATGCAGAGAAACTGTGTGTAGTGTGACAATCAAAATATAAAGGAAACTCAATCATCAGCTATCCTAACCACAAATGCAGGTTACAACCTATTGCAAATCACAACCTATTGCAAATCACAACCTATGAATGGCACATAAAGATGCTGAACAAGGCAAACTATATCTTATCATCTAGTGGTTCAGTGAATACACAGTGGTGGTTCCCTGTATGAAAGCCATGACATGCAAACTTGTCTACTAAAGTCAGTAAACAAACAAACCTGATCGTTTTGTTCTTTGATAAACTTCCCTGAAGTAATAATTATGTGAAAGTTACGCAAAATAACAACTCAGTTTTAATTGGGAAATGCTTTCAGTTTCCAAGAAATATTTTGAAATGTGTTATTGTACACTGCCATCTCCTGGGACCTTCCTGCATTTCAAAAACATCTCTTCCAGCCTAAATCACAAAAAGCTTTAGTAAGGCAGATCATTCCACAGCATAAAACACAAAAGGGAGAAAAAACTTCAGTCTGTAATCACAACCTTTTAGGCTTAAGAAACGTATTCTGTTCAAATACTTCAGAAAGAAGTAATATTTTCTTTTAGAAACAATCTCTCCCCAGAAATCAAAACATATAAGATCTGAGCATCAGCAAAATTCCAGGATGTAGGGAACTAGAGCTTTTCTGATCAGTACTCAGCCACTGAATGTGTGTATACACATACACACACACACCCTGTTGGCACAGTGGAAACCACAAAACACAGACATTCACACCACACACGCACATATTTCTAAGTTTAAGGCTGTTAAGAATATCATTCCAGTGCTGCTGGCTCCAACCAAACCTGCATATCCTCCACAAGCTGTCAAATACTATGATCCAGACTTAATTTCATGAGCATTTTTAATGGTATGTTTGAAGATATTGAAAGCAGCATGTCTATTTCAACTGCCCTAAAACAATCCTGATTATGTCATTGCATTGCTTCATTTCCCCTTAAATTGCTGCTTGGGACTCATCAGTTTTACAGTATTATTGTTAGTGTCCCCATTAAGACATATATGCTGAATTGGTATTGCACAAGAAGGTATTTTTCCCTACTTATGCACAGTGAGGTAAAACTTCATGCACTTTCAAAACAAACATGTTTGATGACACTCTACAGGAAAAATGCAGGCACCGACAATGGCACATTGTGAAGTTCAGGTTGCTTAGAAAACCTTTTATCTTGGCAACATTTCTTGTTGGCTTCAACTGGGAGAGAAGGTTGCAAAGCAGTGATATCCACAGCAACCTTCCTTCTCTACAGGGGAAGCTCACTTCCACCTCCACCTCCACTTCAGCTTCGTTTCCTCTCCAGCTACAAAGGACTGAAAAGGAAAATCTGTGTCTTTCAAAACCGAGTCCTCAAACTCAAAACAAACATCCACATACAGTGTGTAGTATCTTTCAGGTTCTCAATCTGCAGCCTCTCCCTCAAAGCACGTCACTGGAAAATGACCAAGAAACCTCAAACTTCTCTTTGGTTTAAACTCCCTGTGCTTGCACCTCAGATGTGCCATTTTTGGGGGCTCACCAACCGAAAACGCAGCTGAAAATCAGCCCCTGGGAGGGTGTAGTTCCCAACCACTCCAAGCCCACTGTCTCTTGCACATCTTCAGGCACCTGTGTGGAAGGAAAGACCTTGTCTTTTTTTTTTACGGAGAGAGTGCTCAGGCATTGGAATGTGCTGCCCAGGGAGGTGGTGGATTCACCATCCCTGGAGGTTTTCAAGCTGAGACTGGATGTGGCACTTAGTGCCATGGGCTAGTGACCATGGTAGGGTTGGACTCGATGATCTTGGAGGTCTCTTCCAAGCTGGTTGATTCTCTGATTCTATGAAGCACTCCCCCAGCCAGCCTAGCTGGCAGTTTAACCACCAGAGCCCTGGGGACCCCTTGGTTCTGACTCAACAACCCCCAGAGGGGCAGCAGGAGTCACACCCGAGGGAACAGCACTGAATGCTCTGCTGCCCAGGGCAGTTGGGCTGCAATTGTCACCCTGCAGAGCATCTCATGCCAAGTGATGTTCCAGGCATGCCCTGCCCCTGGATAAATGGCATTTCAGCTCTGGAAGAAAGGAGGTGCTGCGGAAGAGAAGAGGATGGGGAAGGGTGTGGTGAGACCCTGTGGCAAGGGGCAGAAGCACTGAGGAGCAAGGTGGTAGGTCTGAGTGGAAACACAAACACACTTGCACGTGCACAGGGAAACTCATAACTGCCCTCACTTCCATTTCCTCGTGGTTTAACAGTCAGACAACCTTAAAAGAAGCAGCTCCTCCACACCTAACACCCCACAAACAAACTCGTCCAGTTTGACAGGTCACTGTAACCTATTCGATTTTCATCTTGCTGAGGAAAATAAAAAGCCTACAAAATCTGCAATATCTTCGAAACACGAGGCAGATACCAATACAAAAGCAACTCGTGGAAAACAGAAGGATTTCTCTGATTATCTGACTTAGACAGTGGAAGCAAGCAAATCTGAATATAATGGAGTAAGATCTATATTTAAATGAATTTGCTGGCAAGGCAAGATGAGGAAATTGATTTTTACACTGCCAGTCCCTTCCTCAGCCTCTACGTGGCAGCAGAACATAGCGATATTCCCTCCAGCATTGATTTTTAAAAACCCCAGAAGGATTTCTCTGATTATCTGACTTAGACAGTGGAAGCAAGCAAATCTGAATATAATGGAGTAAGATCTATATTTAAATGAATTTGCTGGCAAGGCAAGATGAGGAAATTGATTTTTACACTGCCAGTCCCTTCCTCAGCCTCTACGTGGCAGCAGAACATAGCGATATTCCCTCCAGCATTGATTTTTAAAAACCCCACTCAGGATGAGCAGAACATAGCGATATTCCCTCCAGCGTTGATTTTTAAAATCCCCTCTCAGAGAGGGATGAATGAAGGCACAAAGGAGCACAGGAGGTTCTCACACAGCTTTTACCTGTGTCCCTGCCAGGACAAGCAGCACTGGAACTCACAGCAGCCCAATCCTGCCCCTTTCCCACTGGGCAAATGGACAAAGCAAATGACCTTTGAATCCCATGTGGTGTGGCAGAGCAGTTATCTGCATCACTCTCTGCACATTAGCAAAGGGATTTGCCAGGCCAAGGTTAGGCTGCTGAGACCAGACAAAGCACGTGCAAGGGAAAAGCAATGATCACTGCTACAGCTTGTAGGCAACACAGCTACTCTGCAGTCATTATCCTGATTTTCCAGGGGGGGAGTTCAGTCTTTCCCATGTCTGTGGACATAAACAGTGCAGAGTTCATTGACTTGAATGTCACACAGGGGCTGACACTCTTACACTTCCCATTTTTACACAGGACGAGCTGAAATTTTCCCTGTGACCACCAGGTAAAGGTGGAAAATCAAGCACACCTAAGCACATAGACTTACACTGTTCATGAGGAGGTGGAACACATTCCTGTTTGGATTTATCACATCAGTAAACCCCTGATTTTGGTCTGTTTGCATTGTCTTTGCACATACTAGCTCACCTATTCCACCACACAGAAACACAGAGATTTACTGTTTCTATTCCAGTCACTGAGCACCCACTTTTCATTTCCAGATCTAGTTCAAAACACAATTGATTTTCAAGCAATTTATCTCCCTGTAACTCCAAGCAGATGACACAAACGTGCCCCTTTTCGAAAAGAACTGTTTTTTCCACAGCTTCCACCATCTCTTGCCCTCAAGTTCCAACTTAAATGTCACCTCCTTTCCACTTATCATTTTAACTACATAACAAGATTGCTTAATTCTGCAGCTTTTTGCAGATGAATAAACTGCACAAAGAATGTAGGCAGAAGTGGTAACAGGAAAATCAATCCTGGGTGAGGAGATAGCATCACATTGGTGAAATTAGGCTTTATGTAAAAGGATTTCTCTGATTTAAGTAAATCTGAGTCTGCCAGCATAAGGCCCTTAGTGCTTTGCTGGCTTACACCTGTTTTGATCTCAAGCACCCACTCAAAATGAAAGTAAAAAAAAAAATCAAATTTGGCAGTTTCTCACGCTTGCTTTTTAAATGGCTGCTCAAGATGTAAAACAGGGGAGAATGGAGCTCTTATCTAAGTTTTAAATAGTTCACTTCTCACTTGTTTTGGTTAAGCAGATGAAAAAGAGTGAACATGAAGATATCTTGTATTTGCAAGATGCTGTTACTCAGTGGATACCCAGAAAACTATCAGATGTCCTTAAAACAGCTTTTCCAGTCCATAAAACATGATGAGGAGATTCAGTTTCCAGCTGTTGCATTTGTGGTGCAAAAAGAAACATAATCAAAATATTCCTGTGCCTCCCCTTATTTTCAAGAACCACTACATTTGGAAGATTAAATCTCTGGTTCATTTTCTATTTATTTCCTAGTATAGTTTATGTCAGGCATCCAAGAACCAGTTTCAGAGCCCATTAGTGAGTAATTGACACTTTTGGTTTTATTGCCTTATTATTACACCCTTGAAGGAGTTTCTGAAACAAGAGACATCAGACACAGAGCAGAATAATGTCTTCAATGTGTTTTCTTTTCTGAAAGGACTTCAGATTCTGCATAGGACAGAAACGCTCCCATTGGCTGCCAGTGATGTCACAACTGCTTGTAATACCCAGTAAATGCAGAAAGCTAATTGTGCTCCTTTTTAATGTGCAAATTCCACTCCATAATAGCAATAAGACACAACAGACAATGCACTTCAAGGGGATTACTGCCCTTTTGAGCGATTAAAGCTGTTCAGCTCTCAGCTTTAGAAACAGTGGTGAGGAAGTAATTTCAGTCCTACAGGAGCTCTAGGCCCATCTATTGAGAACAGGCTGAGTGTCCTGAGGGAAGGGGAAGGCTGCTCCCCCCATGCACACCCCAAACGTGGGCCAGCAATAAAGCACTCACAGCAGACTGAAGGCAATCATTGCACTGCTCTGAATTAGTATGAAATGAGAGAGAGTGTTTTGAAGCAAACTCTGCTATTGTTTTCTACACGCTGCGTGGGTGAGGCTTGAGTGTCCCTTCACAAAGTAAAAGAGCAGGTGACACCTCACTCTCTTATTTCTGGCCCCTCACCATGGTTCTTTCTCTTGTACTGTTCTAGCCACAGTCCTAGTGAAGGATAAGTTAGCACACAAGGAACTAGACTACAACCCAAACATGAGCCTGTTAGTCCAAGGCTGACAAACTGCCTTAATGTGAGTCACTAAATCCACCTTAAGCCATACATTCCCTAGCAGTAAGAAGAGGATAACACTGTCCTAACTTTGGGGCAACATTAGTGCCCCCAGCATAAGGGGCATGTGAGCCATTAGAATAAAGAAAGAGGTTTTATGCCTCCTGATATCTAAAACAATTGGATTTTTTTAGTTTACTGTCCTGCTGAGAAAGACATCGGGACTTGACATACAAAGCCTCACTTGACAGCACAAATCAGTCTCCTCTCAGCCTGGCTGAAACCTCAGTCCAGTGCCACTGAACACTGACCCAGAGGAAGGAGCACTGTGACTGTAAGAAACACACTGAGCTTTCTGCCCAGCTCCACCCCCATCAAACTGTCTATTTTGGTGGTTTCCTCCTAGGTTTTTTCATCAATCGTCCCATCACTTCGCACCACCTTCTCTATGGTCACTTTACTGAGCTTGTTGCCTGTCTTTATGACAAATTCATCAGGAATAATTGCTTGAGAGAAGCAAGTCAACCTCATGTGGATTAATCCCCTTCTATTACACATGAACTTCGCAAATATTGATGTGATATCAGATGTCTTTTCACACTATTCCTCTTCCTTTCTGCCATTTCTCTATACATTTTCATAAGGTCACTGGCATAAGAACACCAGTGTTATTCTTCATATTCCTAAATAAATGTTTTTCTTCTCCCTTTTTTCGCTTCAGCTCTCACATATACATCCTCTATTCTCTTCACTTCTCCCTTTTCCTTGCCCTCTTCTTTCTACCCACAGGATTTCCATTTGACCAGTCCTGTCCTCACCCCACCCATGCCTACAGTAGGTTTCTTTTGAGTTTACACTCAGCAAGTTCCTGTATTATATTTTGCATTCCAAAAACTCATTGAGAATATCAGTGTAATCTTGAGGTTTATATTATCTACCTAGTGGTATTCGTCCTTCCACTTTTCTGGAGTTCAAAGCAATTAGACCTTTTCCATCCTCTTCATATTTCAGTGCAGGCCCAGTAGCAGCTCTGTAGTCATTCTTCTCAGTAAAAGCATGGAATCTGTAACACAAAATGAGTTTTCACCAGTACACAAACTCCATAAATACTAATGTTAAAGAGATGTCACACATGCAAGATCACAGTGATGTACAGCTTCAGAATTATTTGCTAACCTAATCAAAATATCTAAGCCTACAACTACAATGAGATTATGAGTATTACCAAGCTTTTATGTACATTTCTGTACCGTCTGAAATCTTCTCATGTAGAACATCCTTCCATATTGGCACTACTTACTCTGAGGCACCTTCCTTTTCAATTTCCTGGGAATCTATTTTTAATTAATGCTTCTAACATGCCGAGCAAGCATGTAATTTGAGATGTCTGAGATGACACTAACACCTTTTTATCAGATTATCCTCCCAGTTGAAAGCCCAACAGGAACATTTCTTTCATTATTGACATACAAATCAGGATGGCAAGCAGATTCCATTTACCCTCATTGTCAAAACAGGAGCTCTGAGAGCAGGAAAAAGATGTGTTTCTAAAACAGAAGTGCAGTAGAAACAGGCTCAAGCCACAAAAAGCCCACGAACTTTGTCATTCCTATGGAAAAGCTGACTTAAACTTACAGACAGTTATTGGGCAAATACCATGTAAAAAAAAAAAGACAGTGAGAATCATATCAAATAAAACAATTCCTTTCAGCTCCCTGCCACAACTCTTCTTGCCTCTCTTCACCATACAAGAAACATTCACTTTCCTCCAATAAAGGAGGTAAAAACACTGCCAAAAGAAACTGAAAGATGGTGACTGGTGATGTACCTGGTACCGTGGAGGTACCATGGCTCCACAATCATTTTAAACACACATCAGACCAGAGCAAACACAACACTTTCCCACAGCCTTGTTTTTGGCAGACACTCCATCTCTTAAAAGCTACTTTTAAACACAGATGGCTATGAAAGAGCTAAGCAGCTGCCATCTTACCAATTGCTCTGCTGTCATTTGGGAGATTTCTGCTGTTGGAGGTCTTCCCACTCTTGCACAAACGGCAGTGAACAGAAAGAGCTAGCAGCAATTTCACAACTCTGTAACTATACTGGTGACTGGTGTTAAGCAGACAAACACCTCCTGACTCCTACTGCCCTCCTGCTGCTCAGCATGAGCTTGGTACTGTGGAGCTTTGTATTTGTTCATTTGTGCTCCTTATTTTGATATCAGAATCAAGATTTAATTCTTCTTATCCCTTCCTACTGAAGGCTGATTCTCAGCACATGGCTGATTCCCAGGACAAAGCAGCCAACAAGCCATGTGGAATATATCAGTTTCCACCAAGCATACCAAATGGATGCTAGGGAGCATGGTACAGAACTGCATTTCCACACAACCAGGAAGGATGGATAACACCCCATCAATTTTCTGTTGTTCCATGAACTGGCCATTTAGGACAGACATTTCCTTTTCAGTACATGTTCGTATGTAACAAAACTCTAGATCCTTTTCTGATGCCTGTGGATACTACCACAGTACCAAAAAAATGCAATAAATTCTTGTTTTAGTTTATGCTGTGACCCCTTCCCCTGAACAATTTTCCAGACCTCAGAAGAGGAGCAGATGACAGACTATTCAGCACATAAAAGGGGAATGGCCTTTCTGCAAGCAAGTGAGCACATATGTGGAGAAAAGCTTGTCTGTATAAGCAGGGTCTACATATCTCTTAACACTATTTCCTCAGTTTCCCCAGATCACTTACTGAACTGCTTTGCCCCATTTCTTCATGGATTATATTCAGGTATCTCCCAATATCATTCCTATCAGCAAGGCACTTTCCAAGTACTGAAATCATTACTGTCCTTCTTTGTCATACCTGCCAGAGGCCAAGCAGCTCCACTTCTTCAGGAAAATAATAGTTTCATCTTCCCTAGCATTGAAAGACACAGTGTGGACTGGACAGGGGCCATCAGAAACCTTCTCAAGGAGTAGCTGCTTTGTGTGCTCTGGAACATCACCCACAGCAAAGTAATAAACAGCTTCAACCTGTCATTAAACATGAAAAAAAAAGGGAATTGGAAGACATTGTTTTACATGGACATCTGGTACTTATTCAAGCACTGTCCTGTGCTGAGTATAGAAAAATTTGGTAGAACTGATGAATTACTTGGGCTGTAAGATCTTCAGATCTTTGGTTCTTTCTCACATTTATGCTCATAATCCAAATGAAGTCCACACAAAATTCCCTGAAGTGGGAGCAGAACCTGACCCACAGCCCCTGGGCCTGATTCTGCCCAATGCAGGCCCCTTTCCCCAGAAGTTAACTGAAACCAAAGGAGGTGTAAGGAAGGACAACTGTATTATCAGTCAGGACAAGGCTCTGTTCCACATTCTACTCTTATGAAGAGACATGCTATGTTGGTGCCTTGCCAGGGATGAAAATCTGTAGGAATTTTTATAGCAGACATGGTTTTCCTGCCAGCATGTATTTTCAGGCTAGGAAAGATGCATTATTATTTGAATGCTACTGCTGGTATTTACAGATAATTTGTATGTTTTATACTTCCCAGGGCAGAGCCAGGTTTATATGACCAAATACACTTATATTCTGAAAATGCTACTGCAAGAAGAAGAGAGAAGCTGAAGAAATGTCCTTTAGTTACTGTTGAGTGTTACACTATGAGGGATTTTATGTTACCTGCACTCACCCATGCTAACAATCCCCATGGTGAGTATGTTTCTTCAATTTTCATTAAAAACAAATCTAGGAAACAGCTGTCCCATGATGACTTTCAATACAATGCATACAGCATATCGGTCCTATGGCATAGTACATATCTACTGAAAAATATCTGATAAAGTATGTTCAACTGAAAAAATACAGTCACCTCTGTGCACAGCAAGATCATCAAACAGATCCTCCTGGAAGCTACGCTAAGGCACATGGGAAATAAGGAGGTGACTTGTGACAGCTAGCATGGCTTCACTGAGGGCAAATCATGCCTCACAGATCTGCTGACCTTCTCCAGTGGGATTACTGACCTCGTCTACCTGGACTTGTGCCAAGCATTTGTTACTGTTATGCATGACATCATTGTCTCTAATCTGGACAGACATGGATTCGATGGATGGACCACTCAGTGGATAAGGAATTGACTGGATGTTGCACTCAAAAAGGTTGTGGTCAACAGCTTGATGTCCAAATGGAGACCAGTGATAAGTAGTGTTCCTCAGGCATCAGTGTGGGGATCAGCACTTTTTAACATATTGGTCAGCCACATGGACATTGAGACTGAGTGCTGCCTCAGCAAGTTCGCTGAAAACAAGAAGCTGTGTGGTGTGGTTGACATGCTGGAGGGAAGGGACCGAAGGGCCCTGTACAGGCTTGAGACACGGGCCTGTGTGAACCTCATGAAATTCAACAAGGCCAAGTGCAAGGCCCTGCCCCTGGGTCAGGGCAATCCCAAGCACAAGTACAGGCTGGATGGGTAATGGAATGAGAGCAGCACTGGAGAGAAGGACTTGAAAGTGTTGGTTGACAAGAAGCTCAACACAAGCCAACAATGTGTGCTCACAGCCCAGAAAGCCAACTGTGTCCTAGGCTGCACCAAAAGCAGAATGGCCAGCAGGCCAAGGGAGGTGTGTCTCTCCCTCTAGTCCACTCTCGTGACACCCCACCTGGAGCACCACATTCAGCTTTGGGGCCCCCAACATAAGAAAGACATCCACCATCTGGAGCAAGTCCAGATGAGGGACATGAAGATGATCAGGGAGCTGGAGCACCTCTCCTATGAAGAGAGGATGAAAGAGTTGTTCAGCCTGGAGAAGAGAAAACTCTGGGAAGACTTTATAGCACCTTCCAATACTTAAAGGGGCCTACATGAAAGCTGGAGAGAGACCTTTCACAAGGCCATACAGTGAGAAGACAAGGGGGAATGGCCTTAGATGAAGGAGGGTAGATTTAGAGTAGATACTAGGAAGAAATTCTTTACTGTGAGGGTGATGAGGCACTGCCACAGGTTGCCCAGAGAAGCTGTGGATGCCTTGTCCCTGGAGGTGCTCAAGGTCAGGTTGGATGGGGCTTTGAGCAGCCTGGTCTAGTGGAAGATGTACCTGCCCATGCCAGGGCGTTGATACTAGATGATCTTTAAGGTCCCTTCCAACCCAAACCATTCTGTGATTCTGTGGTTATATGACTAGGAATCCTGGGATGTGCACCACAAAAGACAAGACAACTATTTGAACCTGGGATGGCACTGAGGAAAAGTTTCCACATACATATAATTCCATGCAGTAGTAAAGTAAATTCAGTACCATCTGCAATTGTTCTCATATATTTCTTCTACTGCCTTTGATACTGATTTATATTTCAACTCCCTGAGTGAACAGACTAGCACATGAACATTTCTTTTCCAGTTAGTACTTGAAGCCTTTAGGCTGTAGGATCCTTGTACTGTTCCACATCATCAGCTTATCAATACACACTGACATGGACTTCTAGATTTCAGGCTCCCTCCCTCGTCTACCTTTTGCCACAAATACTTAGGCTGACCCTCAGTACTGGAAGACATCTCTCAAGCAGCAACCCAATCTCAGGCTAGACCAGGCAAACTAATGAAGCAGCACCTCACCACCTTGAGCTTCTCTTGGATCTTGTAGAGGGGCCAAGACACTCCATGTGGGACCCACAGTTACAGACTCCACTTGCTTGAGAGCAAGCAGATCTGTGGTCAACCAGGTGTCCTAGCATCACTGATATATTTAGACAAATACTGAGGGTAAAGAGAACAACGAATGTGTTTAATTAAAGTGCAAGATGAACAAAAACATTATTAGCTTTAGAAAAAGGTGCACAGAAACAAAAATAAAGAACTGTTACACCTATATGTGTTTTAGTTCACTTTTACAAAGTTCCCTCTCTGCCTCCTCCAGCCCAAAAGCTATCTGAGAATGCACACAGCTCTCTCAGATGAGCCCCAGTCCTTGGATAACACCATGCTCCTATTGCTTTGTCTGAAGAGACTCCTGGCCTGGAGGAATGCAGGAATATTGCACAACCACTTTTCCCAGTATTCCTTCAGATTCACATCTTCTCCCTCTCCCTCCTAAGACTGCCAATAATTCATAAACTTGATAATCAATAAGAATAGCAATTCTCACACTTTCTCCAAGGGATTTACTGCCTGCCTCTGCAGCTTTGAAAATGCAGATATTTATTGGGCATAGCTGATACAGAACCAACTCCTCACAAGAAAATTAAAAAAAAAAGCTAACCACATATAATCCATTCAACTACAAACCCAGCAATGCCATACCACAAAGGAAATGTTCCTTACAGATTAATGGGGAAAGGTTAAAACCTTTCCAGTTAGTACTTCATATTTTGAAAATTGTAGTTTATACCACTGAAAAGCAAACAAAATTCATATAAGAACAGGAAGGATGAATGACATGAACAGTTCTTCATGGTCCTGGTGGGAAGGTGGTTTTTGGATGGGTGATCCACACTCCATGGAGTGGCACCTGTACAGAACCACAAGTTTGACACTGTGGATGCATCTGTGGCAGGCAGAACTCAAAGGATTTCAGCCTGACAGCAGAGTGTTCTTGAGCTTGGGACTGACAGATCCTGAGGAAAGGAAATCTAAGGAGTCACCACGCATGGGAAGACCAGCTAAGGGAATGACAGGAAGAGCCATGTCTGGGGAGAAAATAAAAAGAGCTATTCTTTTGAAGCAAATTTTCTTGATGAAGCCAGTTCTGAGGCATGGGTCGTTTATGACTGTTGAGTAAGTAGACAGATTCTGCCTAGGACTGAACGAGGTCTCCCCCAGCTGCAGTACAGTGAAGCTTGCCCTTAAGTGAACTGTTGGTTATGACTGATAATGACTCTATTTAGGAGTAATTGAAGTTTGTTTTATGCTGAACACCTGTGACAATTGTTTCCTCTAGATTGCTCATTAGCCCACCATTATCCAGAAGAAAAAAAAAGAGATATCTCACTGTTGGCCAGATTTTAATTTCTGTTTATTCACACGGAGACCCACCAGGTCCAACCAGACTTTTCCCCCTCCAGACAATATTGAAATATAAATACAATCTTTTTATTTACCCACCAGGTAATCAGGACTACACTGCAAATTGAGAATGTTAATTAAATTTATGAAGGAGGCATTAAAAAAAGCTGTCATAAAAAAATCTTGCTGGTGCACAATTTATTCCTTACCCAATTCCTTTTTAATATCCCTTTCCAAACATCAAGGTTCATCTGGATGAAAATCCAGCAGCACAGGGAACCAGAAAGTAACTCAAGCCAAATTTACCTTCTCCTTCAAACAGTATCCCAGAAAGAGACTTAAAAAGGAGTTCGGATTAGATCTGTGCACAGGGATGGATGTCAAGGGCAGTGAAAACAAAATATTCTACTCCACACACAGTAGGCCCAATTTTTCATTAAATTCAGGCATTAGGGAACTGAAAGTATGTACATTGTAACCAAATTTCATATAATATCTCTTTAACAACACAAGTTTTAAGTGACTAGCTCAAATGATGGCAAATGTTTCACGCCTTGTGACTCTGCCATGATGAATAAAGTAATAATGCACTTTTTGAAGTGAACATGTAATTTCAGGAATAACTGTGCATCCTTCTGGGATGCATTAAGAAGAGCATTGCCAGCAGGTCAGGGAGCTGATCCTGCCTCTCTACTCCGCCCTGGTGAGGCCACATCTGGAGTGTTGTGTCCAGTTCTGGGCTCCTCAGGACCAGAGGGACATGGAGCTCCTGGAGCAGGTCCAGGGGAGGGTGACAAAGATGATTAAGGGACTGGAGCACCTCAGTGATGAGGAAAGGCTGAGGGAGCTGGGGCTGTTCAGCCTCAAGAAGAGATTACTGAGAGGAACCTCATTAATGTGTTCAAGTCCATGCATGGGAAGCGCCAAGAGGATGGATCAGACTCTGCTCAGTGGTGGAAATCAATAAAACAAGAGGTAACAGCAAAAACTGATACACAGAAAGTTCCGCCTGAATACAAGTGAACTTCTTTCCTGTGCACTCACTGAGCACTGAACAGATTGCCCAGAGAGGTTGTGGATTCTCCCTCACTGGAGATATTCCAGACCCACCTGGACACAATCCTGAGCCACGTGCTCTAGGGTGGCCCTGCTGGAGTAGGGAGGTTGGACCAATGACCCACTGTGGTCCCTTTCACACAGAATCCCATGGTTCTGTGGTCCTGTGATTTGTCTGTGTCCTAGAAGAAACTCTAGCTGTAACCTGGCTAATGAAAAAGGATTTGGGTATCCCTATAATGAGTTAATGCTTAGATAAATCTCTGTATTTACTGTTTGGGATTTTAAATATAATTTTCTATGAGCATATTGGATACATAACAAAAGAAAAATGGGTTTCCTGTCTTCAATAATGTTAATACTAGCAATTTTCTCATAAACTTGAAGCCCTGAAAAACATATTTGGCAAAGAAAGTAGAAGAGAAGGTGTTTTCTCTTTCACTTAATGACTGAATATGTTTTTTTGTAATTTATTCCGGGTACTCTAGAAAAGAAAATAAACAAGTTTCTGCATGCAAAATACAGCACATTTACATAAACAGGTCATCAGTCAGCAGAGTATGCAGCTACACTTGGGGGGAAAAAAACCACTTTCCAAATGCTGTCATTAATATTTATCTTTGCAACAGTCATCAGGGCAAATCACAGCAGCCAATCTGGCACTGGATATTCTTGGATTTACTTGAGGCTTCAGGAGAGATGTATGAGCTTACCGCCTCATCACCCATGGCTTCCAGCAGGGCTTCAGCAGCCTTGGTGTGGCTGACAGCTGTCATATGGTCCAGCTTCCAGAGCCACCTCACAGCAGACTGCACGGTCTGATCACACACAGCAGCAGCTTTCTCTTGCCACTTGGTAAGATCCTGAGCTGCCCTGCAAATGAGATTAACTCCAAATCAGAAATGGTGAGAATAATGCTGGCAGAACAAAGAGTGGAGCTCTGCTATTGTTACATTTCCTTTGTATTCTTAGGCAATAATTACAATACAGCACAGATACTAAATCTAGGCTTGCAATGAAAGAAGCAGAGTTAAAATAAAAGCATTAGAAAAATACTGTAATTGTATAAGATTTTTTTCAAGACAACTGTTTCCAAAGTAGGGTCAAGAGAGCTAAAGTATTTTAAAGAGAGTTCCTGTTTCATGCCTGCCCTTAACAGAAAAGCTCAATCAGGTTTTAAAAATATGTGTATGAAAAAAAAAGTCTCATTCCACAACTTGACCTTTGTGTCAGATCAGTTTAACTGACAAGTTTTTTTGGTAGTCAGGCTGATCTTTAGCTACCCACCAAAAAGAAAACTTGTGATGCTAAGCCTTTTAATATTTTAATTTATAAAAGGCCTTAGTCTTAATGGAAGAACAGAAGCACAAAGCAAATGAGAGTATTTGCCTGGGCACTTGTACATAAAAAGCCAGAAAGCAAATAAAAACCCAACCAGTTCCAGTATCTGTCACAACAAGCACTGTTTTGAAGAGTTCACTGCAAATCTGAAAGACAAGTATGTTTCCTGAGTTTCTTTAAAGTAATAATTTATATGCTATATTGTCCTTGTGTCTCGAATTTGACTTGGTTTTGCAGTTCATTTTTGAAGAAAAAGTTCTCTGTGCTTCTCAAAAGCTGTGGAATTTACCTGCTCTGGAAGTGATCTACTTTGGGAAATGTCTCCTTTTGTAAGAGGTTTCCCAGAGACGTTGTGGCTGTCCCATCCCTGGAAGGGGAGCTTCAAGGCCAGGCTGGATGGGGCTTGGATCAACCTGATCCAGTGGAAGATGTCCCTGTACATAGCAGGGGGGTTGGAACTAGATGGTCTTTAAGGTCCCTTCCAACCCAAGCCATTCTGTGATTCTACTATTCTCCTTTTCAATTCTCTGTTGTATCACAATCTAGCGGATTAAGATAGGGCACCAGAATCAAATCTGTAGGACAATGCTTGGGTAAACTGACATTAAGAATCACAGTGTTAACATCGTGAAACCAATTTTAAAATTACATGACCTAATTTGTGCATCATTTTTTCCCACTCATCCATCCAAACCTAAGCTAACACATTCAAACTTTTCTGCATATAGGAGGATTTTTACAGAGATAGGTAAAATTGGAATAGCTGCTTCTATTCTTCTATTTGTAAGTAAATGCAAATTCATTTACTCCTGTTAGGGAACAAGCACTTGTCTTTTGTTATGGAAATCTACTATTGTTTCCTAGCTCTCCTACTGATTTCTGGGACTGTGGAAATGTATAAAAACACAAATGGCTGTGCCTATGGCACTTGGGGGAGTGTCTGTTTAGCTGTAAGGCAGAAACCTGTAATGTCTAAAGACACAAGAATGCCTAGGCAGTCAGATAGGACCTCACTGTTTCACTCTCTAATACTTAGATGTCTGAAGGGCATTACTGCTATTGCAAAGTCCACCTTATCATTCTGGTTTTCTGTGCTAGGTTTGTAGAAGGCATGTATCAGTATTTGGGATCTGTGACTCTTTATCTGTTTGTTCTTCAGGGTAACAGTAGTTTTCTGCTAAATGGAAGTAGCGAGTTCAGCATGAGTATGGGTGAAACTTAGTGGGAAATTTATAGATATTAGTATGACATGAATCATGACAATTTCCAGTACCAAAAGGATCTTATCCAAGCACAGATCTATATGGTGGTGCCCAGACCCTGGTGGTGTTCACAGCCAGGTTGGATGAGGCCTTGAGCAACCTGCTCTGGTGGGAGGTGTCCCTACCCAGGGCAGGGGTTGGGACGACATGATCTCTAAGGTCCATTCCAACCCTTAAGTTCAATGATTCTATGATGTGCAACTCCTTTTTATTCTCCAATAATGGGCTGACATGGACTTCTTTGTTCAGCCTGGAGAAGGCTCTGGAGAGACTTGATTGTGGTCTGACAGTACTTAGAAGTGGATATAAGATGGGGACAGACTTTTTGGTATGGCCTGTAGCAATAGGACAAGGGGTAATGGTTTTAAACTAAAAGAAAGAAGATTCAGACTAGATATAGGGAAGAATTTTGTTTACAGTGAGGATGTTGGAAAAAAGGAACAGGTTGCCCAGAGAGGTGGCAGATGCCTCATCCCTGGAAACATTCAAGGTCAGGCTGGCAGGGGCTTTGAGCAACCTGATCTCATAGAAGGTGTCCCTGCCCATGGCAGAAGCTTGGAACTAGATGTTCTTTAAGGTCCCTTCCAACCCAAACCATTCCATGAGTCTGTGGTTCTTTCTACTTACCAGATGAGGTTGAATCTGGCGATTTGGATCACCTGTTCCACGAGTACCATGGTGAGTGCATCCCGGCACAGTCTGAACTCAGCAGGAGCTGCAGTGCCAAAATCCAAGACAATGACAATGTACTGTTCTTGAATCACTCCGAATATCTGCCGGCTCTCACTGGTTAACCATTCCAGTCGCTGCTCATATAGCTCAATAGCTCCCATTAGACAATCCACAAAATGAAGAATCGGTTCTTTCTTGGCTGTCAGCTTTATTCAAATGAGGGAGAGAAGGAAATTGAACAACAAAACAAATAATACAAATGCAGCCTCGAGCTTAGCACAGCTGCAATAGCTGGTTTGCAAGTGTCAGATATGCCAGCCAAGGTAGCAGTGAAAACAACCCATTTTCCTTCCCCTGTTTCAAGAGCAAATACTTGACAAATGCATCTAAGCTATAAAGAAAAGCACTGCATTTTGCCCTAATTGCTTTTCATAATCTTTTTATATGAGCATGGGACAGTGCCAGTGGGTTGTCTGACTTGTCTGTCTCAAAACTGGAGCAATTAGAATGAGCTGAACGCAGCCTAGGATGTAGAAAGGGCTGCAGAGCAGATGGGTGAACAAACGAGGACACAGAAACTTTGTACCTTCTCAGACTAGAATTCTGACTGGCTCAATAATTTTTTACAGCAATCCAAGAGAGCATATGGTTTGGCTCTTGGGCACTTCGATCTCCACCTTGTCTTTAGCATTTGAAAGGAAAATGTAAAATGTTTCTTGTTTGTCTTATTATTTCACTAACAATGCCCAGCATTACAGCTTAACTATTTGTGGGTAGGTGCTTAGACAAATTTAGTTCAGATGACTGCAATCAACAACTAAAACTTCCCATCCCATCCCAGTAAAGTAAGAAAAATACAGAATCAGTATTAAAATTAAAACCAGCAGATCCTCCCTATGAGTACATGTATACATGTTCACCATGCAGAATGACTTGTGGGTTTAAAAATGCACTGCAGATTCCAGTAAAGATATTCCCCCAATATCTCTGACCCATGTAAGCTGATTTACCTTCCACCTCTAACTACCTTTCTGGGACTGAGTACAATACGTTGCATATACAAATGTTTTTAAACAAAAGCATTCATCAGGGAGAAGATACTTTGTGTGTCAGTCTGCACACTTCTACCTTTCATTTGTATTTTTCTCTGTTGTTCAATGTTAGCTAGGGCCCTGTAATGTTCCTGCCAGATACAGAGTCCCAGGCTGTCTGCCAAAGGAATGTAGGCCTGGGAAGGAGCACTTAGAAATCCTGTTTCCTCCTATGACAACCAGACTCATACAAATAGGTTTATTGCACTACACCAACCAAATCTCATCTTAAAATAAAGCATTTTTCTTGCAGTATCCTCATACTTATAGTCAGCCAGTCCAGATTTCCATTTCTCTGAGAGCTGGAAAACTTCTGACTGTCCAGCCTAATTTTATTCATGGCAGTTCATACCCATTTATTTTTGGACTAGCCTGACTTTTAGCATAGAAAACTATAGCTTTTCCCTATCCCTGTAATTTGCCTTTCTGTAGCATTCAAGGGCAATAATGCTATCCTTCATCAGTCTTCTACAGGCCTACATACATCACCATCAACCAAGTCCTCTTATAAGACCAGCACTCCATTGCAATTCACCCTACTACTGAGCAGGTACTAGCTCTTCCCAGTACCTGCTCTGGTTTGAATTGCTTCTTCTGGGCCTGTGGCCACTGTACACAATCTTGTACTCAATATCCCAAATGAAACCTGACCAGATCTCGTATAGTGGCAAGAATGTCTTTCCTACTGCTCACAACATGGCCTAAGATTAAAAGTCATTATGTAGAGGGGGAAAATTAAGGAAATAAGGCTCCCTGAAATGGTTCTTTACCAATTTTTAAGCCTTCTGCCTCAGAAGTGACTCTAGTCATCAGAAAAAAAATGACAAGCCATTTGCTTTTGTAAAGCCCTTTACAAATTAACTCTGTCCCTTCCTCACACACAGGCGTATCTCTTCAATCAGAATCCACCCTCCTAACAATGGGGCTGCCAGCAGCTGTTGTTAAGACATTCCTTAGAACAGGAGCCTGGGCAGAGATCCAGCTAGCTGTCTCTATAGAGCAGCCTGAGCCTTTTGTGACCTGCTGGCACTAAGCAAAGCAGCACTTTGCATTGGCAACGACAGCGTATTACGTCTTCTAATTTCAGATCTCCATTTGTTTTATTGATTACGACTTTATTTTTTGCTTAACTCTCCTGAGCACCTTCTTTTTAAGAAGAATCTTCTTTCAAGTCAGGGTAAATGTTGCTTGGAAACTGCAGGCTAGTCTAGAAAAGATTTACTGCAATGCTGCACCAAGGCAAGAGCACCGGAAAAAAAAGATACCTAACTTCTCTACCACTGATCTTTATCACTATCAGTTTGACAAAGCAGAAGAAAGAACGATGCAAAGATAAAGTTCTCGCAAAGAATATAAATATTTTGTGCCATAGGGAAGCATTTTAGTCATGTCATTCTGTTACAGTGACAACAGTTTCTAAGTGCACAGGGAAGACACCACAAACTAGCCACACTTACGTGATACACACTGCTGTCCTGTGCTCTCTCGTCCTGAGGAAACAGATCATCTGCATACTGAGAAGCCACAGGTTTCCCCAGGGTGGTCACATAATCTATGGCAAAGTTTACAAATGGTCAAGTTGCTCATCGTAAGGACTACTTCAAACAGATATTTGTGTATATTAGCCATGTGTGAGGCACATGCGTCTGTATTGAGCCCTTGATGTTAAGAAACATTCTAATTCTTTTTGCTTTACAATTATTTTCTGCCTAAATCAATGATAGGGCCCCGAGGCCAGCAACAGGCCTTGGCTGCCTTCATCAGCCTCAGCTTGAGTTCCTAAGCCTGGGCACACAGTCTTTGCTTTAGCTGTGTTGTAGGTGAACCTGCCTCAAGTTCTGCCAGTGAGCCTCTCCTGGGTAGACCACTCTGCCCTGTAGCCTCGCCTCATCTCCAGTTCTGTCTCCTGGTTGTGGACTGAAGACCTATGTGATGGTCTTGTCTCCAGTCTTACTTTTGGCTCCATCTCCTCCTGCTCCTGGCTGCACTCCCTGGCTGGACCCTAGACGTGGTTCATCACCTCACCCTGATGCAGGACTGCATCCTGGTCAGTGAGGACACTGCCTGGGCTGCAGCCTCCTTTGGCTCCTTCTCCAGTTCTGTCTCCTGGTTGTGGACTGAAGACCTATGTGATGGTCTTGTCTCCAGTCTTACTTTTGGCTCCATCTCCTCCTGCTCCTGGCTGCACTCCCTGGCTGGACCCTAGACGTGGTTCATCACCTCACCCTGATGCAGGACTGCATCCTGGTCAGTGAGGACACTGCCTGGGCTGCAGCCTCCTTTGGCTCCTCATTTTCCTCCTACAGAGCAGCCCTGCTTTTGCTGCTTCCTGCTAGTTTAGTCAGAAGTGGGGAAAAAACCCACATCTAATTATTTATAGGTCAAAAAGCTACATGGGGCTTTAAAAAATGAGAGGTTTAGGCAATCTCACAACAGAACTTGTAAATATTTGCCTGTCAAACAAAATACAAAATCTGGTACAGATAATGCTGTTCTCTTACTCAACTCAATCAGCACAGAAGTGAGTGCAACTAAGGAAAAGGTTGTACTCTGCTCTTTCAGTAGCTAGAAATCTTCTACAGGATCTCCACTGATAGGAAAACACTAGGGGTGGGAATATTTAAGGTCACAGAGCAGCTATCTCTACAGTGTGCTGTCCTGCTAAGCCAGTACGTTCTGCTCCCAGCACTAACAACTTTAACCCTGCCTAACAGCTTCCCCATCTGCAGCATACAGGATTTCAGGAACTGCAGTGGTGATCTCTGAATGCCCCATGGACACAAGTCAGCCAAAATCTTAAATTATGCAACCTAGAACAATTGCAATACATTACAATTCCTACTTCTCAGGCAGCAAGCTGTTCAAAGAAAAGAATATCTTACCATGCTCTGCAAAGCACCATTATGGCAGTGGTTAGTAATTATTAGCAAACTCTTCCCCTCCAGCTGTCAGATAACTGAAAAGGAACATTTTTCTATAGCCTGACTTTGCATGAAAAGCACACTGAATTCTAATTAAATTTAACTGTTTCCTTAAAGCTGGATACCCAGAAATAATCTACTATTCCCAAGCAGTTAGCTAACCCTGATGATCAATAGTAGAGCACAGGTTATGGCATGGCATGCATTATATTTGCCATCTGAAAATAGCCAGAGATCTTATCATGTGTTATTTACAGAAAAAAAAGAGTAACAGCCTCAGCAGCATGAGCTATTTCCCAGCTACAGCTACATTGGAGAGGATGTGAACTGGAGCCTAGGGTAAAGCAACAAACAGTGCAGTTGAGCAAGGAAAGCCCTTCTCAGATCCTAAGTCTTTCTCATATCAAAAGGAGAGAGAGTTTCTCAGTTCTCTGAACTGGCAATGCCAGCAGCTGTGGATACAGCTTCCCTTTCTGCCATCATCATAAGAGACAACATGAAAATCTCCACTGTGTATACTGGGGTGCAAAATGAGTGTCAACCTACAGACCCTTCAAAGTTGGGGCGGTTAGTAGTCTATTATTGATTTGTCTTATACCTTTCCTGTGCTGGAATCCAATCTGTGACAAAATCTGGGATAGGGACAGTTTGTTTCTTTTGAGACCATAACGTCGAAGCCATTTAGAAGATGAAATGAGGCACTGTACATCTGTGCTCCAATGACTGGCTGCCAGTCTCCTTTTCTCCTCTTTTGATTTCTTCTCATGCGCCTCATGGGAACCTTCAGGATCTTGTCCGTGCTTTGAATCAAAGGCATGTGCTGCAAAGAGAAATGAGGGGAACACAACATTTGTACTTCAACCAAACAACTCCAAACCCAAGCGAGATGAATCGTCTCCTTTTCTACCTGTCATCCACAACCCTCTGTACACACATAGCTCACCTCTTGTTTTCTTTTTCTTATACTGAGCAATGTTCTTAATCTGGAAAGCTGCTCTCAGTCCCACACATCTGCTTGCTGTTATATCTTTTCAGTCATCTGTATACATTTACCTCCAGTTTCTTAAAGAAAATGTCTCTTGTAAGCCCTAAAATCTAAGTTCAGTTTGCCAAACGGCAATTTTTCCAGATCCTAAGACATCTTTCCTAAGTCTTGGAAATCAGAACTCATGATAGGCGTCCAAAGATAGTCAGACTTAGAAGCATTACACAATAAACAAGGATTTCCTGACAATTATGTGTTGAACTCCTATCACAAATAATAGCAGCACCCACAGCAAATCCCAACTTTATTGCAAGGCTGGTGAAACTCTGCTCACATCGTTTGCCTCATGCGCAAATGATGATTCAGTGTTCTGTGATGGGTCATGTTCATGCACAGGAAATCATGAACCTGAAGGTCCAGATTCATTTTAAGTTCTACAGGACAACAAACACACCTCAGCACTGATGTGTAGTCGGCTGGGTTAGCTCCACTTGCCACTGGCAGCAGAGGCAGCACAGAGCCTGGAGCAGCTGAGGCAGAAATGGAAGCAATGACAACAGTGATGTCTCTGTTCCTCAGCACAGAGGTTCTAGGAGGACTTTAGCATTTCCTGTTCAGTCCCAAAATATTCTGCATGAGCTAAGCAGGGTCTAGTTGATTAAATATCCCTGCTGTATCTAAGTTTTCTTTCTGTGGACTTTGGAAATTTCTATTTATTTTTCCCCAGCATCAACATCATCTGGAGTACCCCAGTCCTAGATTGCCCCCTGTAAATGTACTGCATGGACCAAACTTGTCCAAAATACAAAGAAGGGCACTTCTGTCTTTAATGACTGAAAGATAACCTTCAGTCTAGTATGGAATATGATCAGAACTCTCAGCTAAGATCAAATATTACAACAAGTGACCTGGGTACAAAGGTTCATTAGATAGAGAGCTCCTCAGCTGATAGTACATGAAAGAAAAGAGACTATTTTCAGAAACCATCTTCAGTGAGTGGGCTCCCATACAGTGCAGAGCTCTCTCACAGCCATCAGTCCTACAGGCAGTGTGCTGGGCTGGCATGTCTGTAGAGCTTGGCATTTTACCAACTCTTCTCCTTTGCTCCACACAGAAGCAGCAGTGACAGATGTTAACACTAGAGAGAGGTGAAGGTTTGCAGCTGCTTGAGCTTTGTATATAGTCAGGCATTGTTTATAGTTATTTGAACAGTCTATTCCCAGTTTCCTTCTCCAAAAACACGTCAAGGCCAGCACAGCACCCCACACACAGCCCAGGTGAGAGTGGCACAGCTTCAGAATGGTTTGTACACAGAGAGCAGCATGCACAGCACAGTGCTTCAAAAGACTGTGAAAGTTACCCAGAAAAACATGGAATCTATGCAACAAGAGTGCTGAAATACTCACAGTCACTCCAGGAAAGTCTCTTAAGTGGACTGCCAGTCATGATAGATCTCTTGATTGGCATCTTCTCTTTGCTTTCTTCTTAAACCCTGAGGAATTATTATGTTTTGAAAAATGCAAAATATTGCCATGCACAGGTCAATATGAACTGGAGACCAGTTCCACATGCCCAGCCAGTAATAAACTGCAGCAGGATGAGCTCAAGAAAAATAATATTCTAAAGTAAAAAGGATGTCTACCCCATGTCAAAAAAGGCTGAAGTCAGATTTGACATACTCAGAAATAGGAAAGTAGGAAATTGGTAATAACATTTCCCTTCCTTCACTCTAAATTATCATAAAAAAGAGCCAATATGCTAGAAAAACAAGTGTGGTGCTTTGGCTTGCTGTCATGCAGTGGTATTATATCTGTTATTGCTTTGCTGTATACCTTTTCTTTGCTATAATCCAATTTATGACTAACCCTGGGAGTATCTGAGATGAAATTTTGTGAAGAGATTCACAACTTTGCCTCTAAGACCACAAGATGATTCAGAAAGAAAAGGAATTGTGTGTGTACACATGTACATGAATGTGGTAGAAGGCCCAACTGTGAACAAGACACAGCATATGAAAACAAAGCACCAGACAAAGCAGGGAGGCACACACTGGCTGAGTGTATTTGCTTTGAGACACTCTGCTTTGCCATTTACTTGGCTCTTCGTTTAACAAACACGATGAATGAAGGAGGGATGTTTATGAATCACTAGCAGGCCAGCTGCTAGCTATTGTCATCAAGCAGTTTTTCCTACAGGAAAAGCAAAAATGGGATAAAATATCAACTCAAAGGCAGCCTCTTGCCTCTTTCTTCATTGCACAACTGACCATGCTGTTTATTCCTCTTCCACAGGGTTAAATACCCATATGGAAACATACAAACCATTCCAGGCATTGTCCTGCTGATGCAGAAAGAGTGAACGGCATGAAAGGCAGAGAGGATTTTACAAAACCAGGAGCTTTTTGCAGGCTAACACCCCTGGTTTGTGCAGGATGTGTTCCCAGCAGCACAACCCCTGACCAGCACAGTTTAAGGAGCCTTTGGCACAGGGGCTCAGGGCAGGCAGTGCCCTGAGTTAGTCTTCAATCCACAACCAGGAGACAGAACTGGAGATGAGGCTATAATACAGGGCAGAGTGGTCTACCCCGGAGAGGCTCACTGGCAGAACTTGAGGCAGGTTCACCTACAACACAGCTAAAGCAAAGACTGTGTGACCAGGCTTAGGAACTCAAGCTGAGGCTGATGAAGGCAGTTAGGGAACGGGCACAGCGAGTCACAGAAATGACATTTCTCTCTCAGGAGGCAGAAATCACGTTACAGCACTCTCAGGGAATACCCGAGCCGCGTTCCAGCAGCGTCAGGGAACCAGTCCCAGGTGCCGCCTCATTTCCAGGTGCCCAGAGGTGGCAAAGGGTTTTCCCTCGCCTCAGCCTCAGGCGCGGGAGGCGAAATCCCCTCAGAGCGCCTGGAAATGCTGGCGCCGCGCGAAAAGGGCATTTCAAGGGAGACAAAGTGCTCTCCAAGGGAAACAGCGAGTTTTACCCCAGTCTTGGAAACGCGACTCCAAAAGCGATGGGAGAACCTTCAGCCCCGAATCCCAACAGGCTGTGCCAAAGGGTGAACCAGAGCTCGGCTGGGCATCTCTCCCCGCCCGGGCCAAGGCAAATGAACCTCTCCACCCGCTGCTCTGTGAGGGCCCGGGGGAATCGAGGCCTCGGGAATGTCTCGGGAATGTCTCGG